CTTTGAGTTACGAAATTTATTTTCTATTCAGTCTTAAATGGCTGAAACCTATTCTTGAACTGTGAATACTATTCCCAATTACATCAAGCCCCAAAACAATTATATATGTTTCAATATGATCACGTTTTAACCTTTTGAACACTAAGGAATATAGATTCATTTTGCCCAATCTACCATAGAACAGTAGCCCCACCTAAGGATTAGTTTAGTCAATTTCCATTGGACTTTCTCTGTGGCAGGGCTTCCAATGAGAAGGCATCAGTTAATCAGAGAGCTCCAAGCCAGCAATGATTGGATGTGACTCGTAACAGCAGACAGTCCCCCACTTACAATGGACCTGCCTCACTTCCACAGGTTCTACTCTTACCATCTCTCCCAGCTGTCCCTTAGGGGGTCATGACAATTTTCTTGCTTCAAAATGGGAAAAAAAGTTAGAAGCACTGCTCCTAGGAAAGTTTTGTATATGGGTCTGAAAGGTTTAATGCTGAGGAGGGCCATAAGTACCACCCACTGTGATTGTGTCATATGGACTTGTGGGCAGAACAGCTTAGGATCTCAAAGCAATGAAACCTAACATCTTCACCTCCTCAAGGTTTCTGTAACAGCGTCTATCATATCAATGTAACCCGTAACCATCTGTTAACAGGAAATAAACTAAACTTGTTAACTGCTCCAGAATTTTCTAGTTGGACCAGGAAGTGGTTTTCCTTGATCACACTAGGCCAAACAGTCCGTGTCATGTCCGACACCTAAAGAGAGGGGGGGAACAATCTTCATCATGAGCACAGCCCATGTAATACAGTGATCCAGCATGCCTAGACAATATGATGAGCAGTGGTATGCATTGGTTTTACAGCCCAAACCACAGAAAGCATATCTATTCTTAGGTAAGGTGACCAAAATTGTGCACAATATTCCATGTGTGGTCTCACCAAGGACCCATGTAAATACGGTAAGAGTTTTTCGCTTGAGGAAACAGTGGCACAGAGATAACCTCACTGGATGAGTAATCCAGATGCCAGGTTAATGTTCTGGAGACATGGTTTCAAATCCCACTGTAGCAGATGGTGAAATCTGAATTCAATAAAACTCTGGAATTAGAAGCAAACCTAATGGAAACCATGTAACTACTGTCAACTGTCATTGATAAAAATCCACCTGGTTCACTAATGCCCTTTAGGGAAGGAAATCTTCCCTCCATATCCAGTCTGACCTACATGTAATTCCAGACCCACAGCATGTGATTGACTCGTAACTGCACTCTGAAATAGCCTAATGAGCCATTCAGTTCATTGATAATTAGGGATGGGAAACAAATACTGGCCCAGTCAATGACAATCACATCTCATGAATGAATTTTAAAAATGCCCTTTGTGATGAAAACTAACATAGCATTTGCATTCTTAATTGCTTGCTGTATCTGCATGCCAATTTTAAATGATTTGTGTGCAAGGACACATAGTGTCTTCAACAACACCTTCCAAACCCACCACAACTGCTGTCTAGAAGGGCAAGAACAGCAGAAACATGAGAACACCACTCCCTGCGTTTTGCCCTCCAAGTCATTCTCCATCCTGACTTGAAAATATATTGCTTTTCCTTGAGTGTGGCTGGGTCAAAATCCTGTACTCCCTCCCAAACTGTGGTGTGGGTCTACCACATGGACTACAGCAGTATAAGAAGGCAGCTCACCACCACCTTCTCAATGGCAGCTAGGGATGGGCAATAAATGCTGGCCCAGCCAATGATGTCACATCAATGAGTGAATAAAAAAAAGGAAGTGGAAGATGACTATTCTGACATCTGAGTTCTTGTATTTATTTAAAGGAAGAGTTCAAGCAGGTGATTGAACATAATGTGATCTACCAGCCTCCAAAAATAAAGGATTAACAAGTGCTCAGAGTGAGCAAGAAGTCCTCATCGAATGACAGCATTCACCATGGAGAAAGGACGAGAACACTTCCCAAACAATTTTGCTAGACAGCAAGATTCTGTCTTCACAAGCCACAGAAATTAACACACGCCATACTAATTGGCTATGAACCATGCTGGGCCATATACACTTTCTGTCTCATTAACTGATGTCTCTGTGCTGCTGTTAATACACTTAAATTAGTCTTTAAGTACTCATTTAAGTTCAGATAGTGTTTAAATTCAGATATCTGAAAATTGCTTATGAAGAGTCACTGCCTATCTTAGGTAACTTTGGTCCTGATTCCCAAATGCAAAGCTAGGGTTAAATAATGATCGGGTGGAGGGAGAGGCTGAGGTCCTTTAGTATTATTCACCTTAAGATTCTCAATAGGCCCAAGGCTGGGTTGGCCACCCAACATTTCCCCTACTCTTTAAAATTTCCAACAGGTTATTGGTGGGGTAATAGTGCAGTGAGATGGGAAGACCACCCATTGAATGCGTGTGACCACACAACACCTCCCACTGCATAGGGTTCAATTGATCAATGTTTGATTGATGTTTGTATATATTGTGTATATTGATAGTTGGCAGCTCACTGTGTACTGTTATTAAGCTTGGTTTTGTCAATTAGTGAAAGAGGCTGAAATGAATCTAGCTGCTGTAACATGGGAGCAAATATTTTAAAGCATTGTCTACCCTCCTGACAGACAGAGAAACTGGTGTATGAAGCACACTCTGCCTTCAAACCTGCTGGTGGGGAGTATAAAATCCAGGCCATTGATACAGATTGTAAATTGCTGAGGATTGCTCAAAGTAATAAAAAATCATGAATTAACTAATGGGGATAAAATAACATCTGATAGTTTAGAGGGTAAAATTGATAGTGATTTTATTTGCATGGGCTACATTTTCACCTTCCATTTATCCTGATTAATTGATTGTTACCAATAACTTCCAAAATTGATGAAATAAAGCTGATTTCACTTGTAAAACAGCATCAAGTTGACACTAAGAACTGAGGGTCGGCTCACAATCCTGATGGTGGGCAGATATTCTTACTGCAGTTTAGAAGTGCCAGAAATAGTTGTGAATATCACAATTTGTGACAAATCAAATGTTAAAAAATTGCCAGCAGAGTCACAATGTACAAAATAGCCTTTGTCAGTCACATATGATTCTATAAAGAAGAATTTAGGAGTTGCTTCCAGATCAGACAGAACTTTATGTATGTCCTTTCATTGAACAAGAATTAGCAAGTCAAAACATAATGTGCAGTACAAAATATGATTAGCACCAATCAATGGAGATTATACCAAATATGTTTGACACAGAGCAAAATGAAATTAGATTTGAGTCGTACATTGAATTAGATCTTCCGTTATTCAGTCTTTGTCGCAAAGTGTGACTTTGTTGCACTTTTCCCCAATTCTAGATACAGGATAGAGTTGCCAACCATTCTGGATTATACTGGCATTTTCAGGTATTCATGGTTAATTTCTGGATTTTTTTAATATTCACTCACAGGATATACACATCTCTGGCTGGGCCAGCATTTATTGGCCATCCGTAAAATTGCCCAGAGGCCAGTTGAGAGTCAACCACATTGCTGTGGGTCTGGAGTCACATTTAGGCCAGACCTAGTGAGGATGGCAGATTTCTTTCCGTAATGGACATTAGTGAATCCACTTGCACTTGATAGTCTTGTGACTAAGCCAGGATAAAAATCACAAGAAACATTCAAGTATTGCACCTACTTTTAAAAGAAATGTATTATGATGGTTATGATTCATCCAATCAGACAATGGGGATGCTGTCCTTTTTCTTGCTGGTGTAAGAAAGTGGTGTGCCATGACCACGGATATGTCAGCAATGGGACAATTTGCAACAGGATGTCAGGCGGCACAACATAGGAACATAGAAAATGGGAATGGCAGGAGTAGGCCATTCTATCCTTTGAGTCTGCTCTACCATTCAGTATAATCATGGCAGATGCCCAACTCAGTATCCTCTTCCCACTTTCTTCCCATACCCTTTGATCTCTTTCTCCCTAAGAACTGTATCTAACTTCATGAAAACATTAAAAGGTTTAGCCTCAACCACTTTTTGTGGGAGAGAATTCCACTTCACTCGCCGGATAAAGAAATTTCTCCTCATATCAGTCCTAAATGGCCTGCCCCGTATCTAATACCTGGTTCTGGAATCCCTGGTCATCAAGAATATCCTTCCCGCATTCACCCTATCTAGTCCTGTTAGAATTTTATAGCTTTCTATGAGATCCCAAATCATTCTTCTAAACTCCAGTATATATAGTAATACTGATGCAGTCTCTCTTTATGTCAGTCCTGCCATTCCACGAATCAGGCTGGTAAACTTCTGTTACACTCCCTTCTTAGCCAGAACATCCTTCCTCAGATCAGGAGACCAAACTGCACACAATACTCCAAGTGTGGTTCCTGCTAAGGCCCTGTATAATTGCAGCAAGACATCCCTGCTCCTGTACTCGAATCCTCTCGCTGTGAAGGCCAACATACCATTTGCCCTCTTCAACATCGGCTGAACCTGCATTATTACTCTCAGTGACTGGTGTACGAGAGGACACCCAGGTCTCATTGCACCTCCCCCATTCCCAATCTATCTCCATTCAAATAATAATCTGCCTTCTTAACTCACAGTTACATCGTCAAAAAATTCTAGCAGATTTGTCAAACGCGATTTCCCTTTCATAAATCATGCCGATTCTGTCCGATCCTCCAGGAATATGATGAGCCAGAGTTGGCAAACTGAGTGCAAAGCCATATTGCATTTATCGCCATCAATTATTTCAACTCATTCACATTTGTAAGACTCTGGGCACCAGGTCTTACCATAGTTTTGGGCCAAGAGCCAGGTAGCATTGAAAAATAACAATGCTAAGCAGAGTTTCATTTATGTACTTGTCGAAACATAATTCAAATTAGTGATACAAACACAATTTTGATCATTGTGAAAATATCTTAAAACATGCCATGACTTTGGTAACCCATTGCAAAAGCCATCCCCCATGTACAAAATGTGTAACATCGATGCATAAGATGAAAGCTTCTTACCTCAGTGACAATTGTAGAGATGTATCTGTCTGTATTGTACACCCAGCCATCAATACAGGGCTCTATTTCAGGCATTGTATCATTTAAACTGTCTTTCATTTCAGTCTTGTATCTGGTGCATTTACTGTACATTTGTCCATCACCCACTTCTTCCACAGGTAGCAGTAAACTTAGATTAAGAAAGGAAGTTTCTCCGATCATCACATTTGAAGAGTTAGGCAGACGACAATGATGCTGAGGAATATCTGCCAGAAACACCATAGAAAGGACTGTGTATCCATTTGGAACAACAGTCAGACTGAGGAAAAAGAAAATTGTCCTCTGGTATGGCCCCCATTCTCCCAGGAAAGCAGTTGCCTCATCATAACTTTGCATTTTTTTTCTGACTCCTGAAATAATTTCTTTTCTGAGCAATCGGTGCTTTAGCTTCAAATGTGCTTCCTGTGAAAAGAGCAAAGCTGATTAGTTCAGTTTTCAAATAGATTCCTGCCAGAAAGTTATCACCGTTGCTTCTTGTAAAAGGCACATCTAATCTCATAGATTGGTAACGTTTACAAATGAATACTCTGTTAAGATAACTCTGAACTGTGTCTAAGAAAATCTTCAAAATGCTTCAGAAGGTATATATGTCCCTCAAGTGTCCTTCTTTTGCAAATGTTTAATTGGTTCCTTCTTCTGTCTATCAAACTATGCCTCTGCCCCTTTATGAACAGACAGTCCAATACTTTATGATGACAATTATAGCATGTGAGTGAAAGCAGCAGCTGACAGTCTGATGTGTTAAGTAAGCTGTACTGGAAACAGAATTGAGACTCAAGTTAAATGCAATTATTTTTTAAGATATAATTTACCACAGCAATCATGCTTCGTAAAAACATTTTTTATGGTTGATGCTGCTGTAAAATTAACTTTATTTAAAAATGATACTCTCATGAATGTTCAAACAATCGCATTTGAAACCTGATGTTTAATATGCCCAATGCCAAAATTAACCTTGGCCTTTTAGTTAATGACATGACTTGTTGGCCAGTGACTTTTCAGGCTCTGAACGATGTGAGCAATGGCAAAAAAGTTTGGCGAATACAGTGAGATGGAAAAATGAAATTCTCAGCGTCAAGGACAAAATATCTGATTTTCCATGAAGGGTTTCAATGATGAGATGAGAATCTCACTAGTGAACAGCAAGGGGCCCACTGGCATGCATTTCTTTCCTTCTCCTGACAGATCCACCAGGTGCTCCAGGTCCCCGACAGCAAAGGGAGGTGCCAAATTCCCTTGATCTGCTTTCTCAGACCTGGCAGATATTCCTCAGACACTGGGGAGACCAATTCCTGGCTTGAGGCACTTGAACTGGGGCAGAGCTGGGATTGGAATACGGTGGTGGGGTGGGGGTGGGAATGAGGTGTGAGGAGAGGAGCTGGTGGTGAAACCTGGAAAGTCCCAGCAAAGCCCAGCAAGTCCATGACCAGTGAGCACAAGATAACATGAAAGAGAGTCACACAGTCGCAGTGCAAACTTAATGAGGTGAGTGTTGTAAAATTGCATACGAGAAACATTCCATGAAGCTCCCTGAAATTGATACTCAGGGCTACCTATCAAAAGAAATTTAACTAGGCAGGCAAACACACTGTTTGGAACAAGTCAAAGGTTGCAGGTTCTGGAATGAGTAACTCACCTCCTGATTCTCGAAAGTTTGTCCACCATCTACAAGGCACAAGACGGGAGTGTGATGAAATGTTCTCCTCTCACCTGCATGGGTTGTAACTCCAATGATACTGAAAAAGCTCATCAGTGTCCAGGCAGAACTCCCTGCTTGATCAGCATCCCCATCCACTCTGAAACACTTATTCGTGCAGCAAGGCATACATACCTCATGGATAAAGTATTCACCATCAGAGAGACACAGAAGATTCTTTGACATCACTCTTCAAACCACAGACCCCAGTCAACTAGAAGGATGAGTCCATCAAGCACATAGGAGAATGACCACTGCACCTTTCCCTCCAACTCACACACAATCCTGTCTTGGAAGAAAATACCACTCTGTGTTATGAAAGTTCATAATATATTTAAACTATTAATACTACTTAAGAACTTATGGTCTGAAGTGGAAACAAATAGAGATCTGCAAAGTTATGAAAGGTCTTGATAGAGTGGACCCAAAGAGATGACTTCTTTTTGTGGAGATGTGTAAAACAAGAGGCCATCTATACAGGATAATTGCTAAGAAATAAAATAAGGAATTCAAAGTAAATTTCTTCACTCAAAGAATTATGAGATTGGGAAGTCATTACCACTAATAGTGATTAAATACTATAGATGTGTTCAAGAGAAAGTTGGATACGCATTTGAGGAAGAAGTGAAAAGAATGTTATATCAGTAGATTTATCTGAGGAAAGACAGGAGAGTGCTTTAGTCCGTTATAAAGACTGGCATGGAATTGTTGGGTTGAATAGCCTGTTTCAGTGCAGTATATAATCCATTCTCTTTGGTTCTAGCACAATCTATATTTTCTAGTCACCAACTCAACCCTATCCCTCATGACTGTCCAAGGTTGCACAGATTTTCACAACCATGCTGCCATTTTTGACCCTGAGATCAGGTTCCAACTAGATAACCACGCCATAAATAAGATTGCATACTTTTCTGTCCTACTCCAGCCAGTTTCAGTTCATGTAATTCTGGAATGCTCATTCTTGTCTTTGATAACCCTAGACCTGACTATTCCAATGCTCTCCTGACCAAGTTCCCATCTTCCACCCGACATAAGGTTGAGCTGATCCAAAACATCTGGTGTCCTTGTCCAAACTTGCATCCAGTCCCATTCATCCATTATCCTGCAGTCACTAGTCAATACTGGCCCCGGGTCCAGAGTTCATATTTATACCTAGATGTTGGAATTTTAAAGACTGAGTTGAAGCTATTTCTCTACTACAACCCACTACCTGTTTGTTTCATGAGGATGTCTTTCTAATAGTACCTTATTTAAAACGAGATCAGTTTTAATTTGATTTTGCTATTTCTGCTTAATATTTTAATACATTTAAACCTGAGGAGTGTTAATGTAATTGAATAAAAGAATTGGTAGTGTATCTGTACTCAAGAATATGTCAGCACAATGCCAACTATCTTTAGAAATGATTACTAAGCTACAACATTTAAATGTAATGTTGTATACCAGTGGTTAGTTTCTCAGAATCAGTTCTCCAATTTTGTTTCCAAAATTAATTTTCAATAGAAATCATTTGAGAGCAAAACAGCTTTCATTAACAAAAGTCACTATTTCATTTGAAACCCACCCGCCTCTCTGGATATCTTCATCAAAATTCAAATCCTGTTCCAACATTGTCTGCACCTGCAACATTAACCAGTCTTTTCTTGTATCAGACACTGATGAACTTGTTGTGCTTATAAATCAGAGATAGCAAGAACTGCACATGCTGGAGTCAGAGATAACACAGTGTGGAGCTGGAGGTCAGGCAGCATCAGAGGAGCAGGAAAGTCAACGTTTCAGGTCAGGACCCTTCATCAGTCCTGACAGGAATTTTCATAGGAATCATAGGAACAGACGTAGGACATTCAGTCCATTGATTCTGCCTTGCTATTGTACATCATAACAGATCACCACCTCAATGTCATTTTCCTACATTATCTTGACATCTCTTAGTCTCATTCGTCTCCAGAAATGTACTGATTTCTCTCTCAAAGTTGCAGAATGATTGAGCTTCTACAACCCTCCAAGTTCGAGAATTCTAAAGGTTTATCATTCTTAGAGTGAAGGAATTCCTCTTCATCTCCCCTGGTTATGTCTTCTGGTTTTAGGTCACCAGCCACAAGGAGACAAAGACGACACAATACTCCAAGTGAGTTCTCTCCAGAGGTTTTATTCAACTCTCATTGAAATGAACGCCAATGTTCCATTAACCTTTCTAGTTGCACACTACAACTGCAGGCAGACTTTTCATGAATCATGAACAAGGACATCCTGATTCCTTTGGACACCGACACTTCCAAACCTCTCACCATTTAGGAAATATTCTGTCTCTCCGTTTTTTCCACCAAAGTGAACAGCTTCACACTTACTTACATTATATCCCACTGGCCATGTTCTAGCCCTTTCACTTAGCCTGTTCAAGGCTTCTTGAAGCTCCTCATGACTAAAGGTCCCACTCAGTTGTCATCAGCAACTTTGGAAATATGAGAATTGGTGCCCACATCCAAATTATTTATATAGATTGTGGACTGCTAGCACTGACCCTACGACACCCCTCAATTAAGGTCTGCCATCTAGAGAATTTTTTTTATTCACTAAAGGGATGCTAGTATTTATTACTCATCTCTGATTACCCTTGACAAGGTGGCAGTGAGTGTCCTCTTAGACTGTAGCAGTCCATGTGCTGTAGGTTAACCCACAATGCCATTAGGGAGGGAGCTTCAGGATTTTGATGCAAAGACACGGGCAGCATGGTGGCTCAGTGGTTAGCACTGCTGCCTCACAGCGCCAGAGAACCAGGTTCAATTCCACCCTTGGGCAATTGTCTGTGTGGAGTTTGCATGTTCTCCCTGTGTCTGTGTGGGTTTCCTCCAGGTGCTCTGGTTTCCTCCCACAGTCCAAAGATGTGCAGGTTAGGTGGATTGGCCATGCTAAATTGCCTGTAGTGTTCAGGGATGTTTAGGTTAGGTGGGTTAGACATGGGGAAATGCAGGGGTAGGGGAATGAGTCGGGGTGGGATGGTCTTTGGAAGGGCAGTGTGGGCTTGTTGGGCCAAATGGCCTGTTTCCACACTGCAGGAATGGCAATATTTTCATAAGGCATTTGATATAACTACATATTAGATTACTTAATAAGATTAGAGCCCACAGTTTAAGAGGTAGTAGATTAGCATGGATAGAGGATCAATAGAAGGCAGAGAGTTGGAGATGGGGGCGGGGGGCATTTTAAATATGGCAACCTGTAACTAATGGAATGCCACAGGGATCAGTGTTGGGGTCATAATTATTTACAATATGTATTAATGGTAGGGGTAAGGAAAATGAATGTATTTTAGCCAAGTTTGTGGACAACAAAAAAATAGATGGGAAGGCAAGGGGTGAGGATGACTGAAAGAGACTGCAGATGGATGTAGACAGGTAAAGGTAGTGGGCAATAACTTGACAGTTGAAAAATAATTTGGGGAAATGTGGGGTTATGCACTTTGGCGTGAAAAATAGAGGAGTTGAATATTAATTAAGTGGAGAAACACAGCAGAAAGCTACCAAAGCGAGGCATTTGGGAGCCATTGTCCATAAATAACAGAAAGCTAGTATCCAAGTTCATTGGGTAACAGGGCAGGCAAATAGAATGTTGGTTTTTATTTAAAGGGATTAGGGTATAAAAGTAGGGAGGTTTTGCTAAAACTATGCAAGGCACAAGTCAGACCATACTGTGAACAA